CATGAAGGTCAAAGAAAGGATTTTGATTATTTTTTCTTAAACCAAACAATCATATTTAGTTCTTGGCAACAAATCATCACTATGCTACAGGCCAACTGACTCTAGAGAAAGTGCAACCTCGAATGTCTCACCAATGTATGGGATAAATCCTAGACCAGCTTAGAAAACATTGAAACACTGGTCAAGTAGACAGACCCTGTTGGTCAAGTTATGAGAGGCCACAATGTATAACAGGGAAGAAGCAGATAACATTTCTGCAGTATTTACTGATGATCCTGTTAACGGAATATCAATACAATAACACAGACACCTACCAAAAACTAACAGATAAAAATTCCGCACACACAGATAGATTACCCCTTATTATCAGATAATCTAAACAATAACAGAGACAGGACTGCAATCTGAGAGAAATTTCAACACAATTTGTGGCTGATCCAATTATCAATGCATAAACAGAATAACAAGGTATAACTGATTTCAGCCAAAGTTCCTTTATCAATCATACGTGAAGTAGTCTTGGCTCAGCACAAGAGAGGGTTTTTTTCTTGAGAGTAAACAAAATGGGTTAATACCAAACTAATCAAACTGATCATATGGAGAAATTTGAAGAAAACAAGGAGAGATGATGAGGAGATGATTCAGTAAACAATGGTGATACCATGTGTTACAACAGAATGGTCATGTGAAACCCATATCATGTCATGTGAAGCGCTCACTGTGTCATTTGAAACCCATATCATGTCATGTGACACCCAGAGTTTCCCAAACCACAGGCCATTTCCTTGTTTGGCAATCTGGCAGCAGGGAACGGATTGATTCTTCCTAATTGACTTGATCTATTTCCAATCTGCTCTCACTGCTGACCAATTCTGGGGTCTTCTCAAAACAACAACAAGAAAACAAATCATCCAAACAAGTTAATTTAATTCACATTTTGGTAAAAATTTGATGGAGAAATTTTTGCCCAGTTTAAAGATTGCATTTTCGTCATCAGGCACAGCAATTTAAGAGTGTTGACCACTGGTGGACTTACAAAAAATAATGTGGTAAAAATAAACATGCACCGATTTTATCATAAAAGACCAAGTACATCAAAATCAAAGGGCAAGCTCCCCACTGATAAACAATCAAAATGCTTTAAGATACACAGCATATGACAGCTTGTAGATCAAACAGGAAAGCAATCCCAGGTAGCAGAGGTCAAGACCCCAAGACTGACCATAACTGCCCACAAACATCATCCTGTGATGATTTCCTCCCCTTACCACAGGGGGCTTCACATCTGAAGCCTTTGAACATTTTCTTATGTAAACCAATTTCCTATTCCTACATTGAAGATTTTATGATTTCCTCATTCTGCGTGTGTGTTTCAGTTTTTCTTTTTATTGAGAGAAAGACAGAGAGAAAGATCAGTTGATATTTATCAGTTCAATTCTACTTTGGATAAAACAATTAACTATGAAAGTTCAGCAATTGCCATTTAAACTGATACAATTCAAAACTTAATTTTTTTCTTGTGGAATATTAATCAATACCCCCCTCCAAAAAAAAAAAAGAAAGAAAGAAAAAAGAAAAAGAAAAAAACATCCACAATTATGAATTGGCCCCTCAACGTGTTGCATTTAGAATTTTGAAACCAGCTGACAATTATTTTTTCCTTGAGATATTTTCATCAGGTGGCTCCAATTAAATTTAATAGCCTGGGGATGAAAGGTTGCCATGACCTTGTCAACCACATTGAAATAGGCGATGATTTCTCTGGAAATAATTGATGATTTTCTGGAAATAATTGCTGCATCTAACGAAGTATTAAATGTCAGATTTTCAGCAACAAAAATACATGCAAGTCCACATGACATTCTTCAGAGTACCCATGGTGTTACAAAAAATTCAAAGATGCTAAATATTTTGAAAATTTAGTCTAAATCTAAAAAAATTCCTGTTATTCATTTTTTTTCTCAGACCATGAACCACACTCCTGTCAGCTGATCTGACATATTAATTCTGCAAAACGCAAGGTCTTAAAGGCATAATAACTCTTTGTATGAGACCTATATTTCACAATAAAAACCTTGTGAATAACTCATAGAAATATAATATATTCTGTTTTACCACAAAAACAGCAGTTATAGCTTTTATTCTGATATTTGAACTTGNGCTTCACATCTGAAGCCTTTGAACATTTTTCTTATGTAAACCAATTTCCTATTCCTACATTGAAGATTTTATGATTTCCTCATTCTGCGTGTGTGTTTCAGTTTTTCTTTTTATTGAGAGAAAGACAGAGAGAAAGATCAGTTGATATTTATCAGTTCAATTCTACTTTGGATAAAACAATTAACTATGAAAGTTCAGCAATTGCCATTTAAACTGATACAATTCAAAACTTAATTTTTTTTCTTGTGGAATATTAATCAATACCCCCCTACAAAAAAAAAAAAGGAAGAAAGAAAAAAGAAAAAGAAAAAAACATCCACAATTATGAATTGGCCCCTCAATGTGTTGCATTTAGAATTTTGAAACCAGCTGACAATTATTTTTTCCTTGAGATATTTTCATCAGGTGGCTCCAATTAAATTTAATAGCCTGGGGATGAAAGGTTGCCATGACCTTGTCAACCACATTGAAATAGGCGATGATTTCTCTGGAAATAATTGATGATTTTCTGGAAATAATTGCTGCATCTAACGAAGTATTAAATGTCAGATTTTCAGCAACAAAAATACATGCAAGTCCACATGACATTCTTCAGAGTACCCATGGTGTTACAAAAAATTCAAAGATGCTAAATATTTTGAAAATTTAGTCTAAATCTAAAAAAATTCCTGTTATTCATTTTTTTTTCTCAGACCATGAACCACACTCCTGTCAGCTGATCTGACATATTAATTCTGCAAAACGCAAGGTCTTAAAAGAATTCTGAAAACTCCCTTTAAATTACTCTAATAATATTAAGTAATTTCTTCAGTAGCTCAAGGACCACTCATGACTAATTCAGGTATATTTTGACTCAAATAAATAGTCATAACTGTTTGAGTAATTTGATTTTGTTTCCAATCAATGACCACATCTTTTAATAGTTTTTCAATTATTTGTATTATAATGTAGGGTTAGCTCATCACTTAATGCAAAACATACCACAAGTCAAATCATGTACATTATGTAACGATTCTACTTGTATTACTGCACAAATATCAGCCCAGGTATTCTAAATATTTCAACTTCCCAAACAAAATTCCCCTAAAATCCCATCCTTTTTTTTTCACATCTTACCCAGACTTTAGCTGTCCACATTAATCTTGCACTTAACAGCTATCTCATTAATTCCAACCAAGACCGCATTCAGATTCACACATGGTACAAGCTGGGTCGGTCCAACTCTGCTAGGAATTCTCACTAAAGTGGAATCAGTGAAATTAGCTTAATCAGGACACGACAGTTAATTATCCCTTAGCTGCTCAAGGAGGCATGAACAACAATTAAGCTTATTCTTCTGATTACACTGTAGCAATAATCCCTTGCAGAGTTGGACCGAACCAGCTGGTACGATGTCTGAATCTGAATGCTCCCTAAATGATCATTTATTTTGCTGATATCAGAAATCAAGGCGTGTAGATTAGGCAATGGTTCCGCTTATATCACTGTACAAATATCCTCTCTGGTATATCTGTCTGGAGAAAACCCATCATGCTCTGCTGACAGTACGTCCCTTGGTGTCAGTGAGTGCTTTCTTAGAGGCACATTTGGCATATTCTGCAAGTTGTGATTTTTTTTCTTTTCAAAATTGACTGCTTGTTTCCTTATGTTGGCCAGAAAAAGGTCTGCTGTAAATCAAATTTTGATCGAGGTTCTGTGCCATTTCTCAAGTTTGGTTGATTATAGGGTAACAAGGTAGACTTTTTTTTTAGCAAAAGAGCCCCTTTTTGAAATTTTTGTCTGCAGCCCTGAGGAAAATGCTATTTCAAAATGTTTTTTTTTTAAAGAAAAAAAGAAATGCCCTGCTAATAAATATTCTGCCCCCCCCCCCCCAAAAAAAAAATGATAAATAAAAAAACAACTACTAACAATTTCTTTTGATGACTTGATGACCTTAAATAAGAACATGGGAAAATGGGTAATGTTAACAAATTTTGTAAATATACCATATACTTGAAAGAACCTTCTCATACATTCCTCTTCCGTAAAAAAAAACTAAATGCAAAGAAAGTGGCTCCCTTTTTCTAAGAAAAGGTCGGTTTATTGGCTAAAGCATTGTTAACAGGCAACAAAATCTCTGGTCACGCTCAAAGAAGAAGACTCCTGGGAATGGGATGGTAAGATCCGAAATTCCAAGATAACATTCCAGGTACTGTTCAGGTTCATTACACGGGAAATTCCTGGGAACAAAAGGTCAAAGGAAGGCTAAAACCCTTGGGTTCGTGAGACCATATCTTTTATCGGACCACTAGAATGTCAAGGTTTATAATAAATAACAGATTTAAGACACAGGGGACTTGGGGGGGGGGGGGCAGGGGGGGGCATCCAACACCATTCCCTGTCACTACCTTTCATTAAATTAAATAAAACCAAACATATAATTATAAAGCCTCCAGTGCCTATTTTTTCAATATTTTCACTTGGAGACAAAAAAAAAACGTAACTTTGACATGCATATTCTGCATATAAAAAGTAAGCAGAAAATTAAAATCTTAACTAGATTTACACAAAGAAAAGTAGGAACATTTATCCTAAAATGAGTCTCCCACCCACCCCACCTGTCCCTACCCATCACCTGTCTCGTATTCCCCAGAGTGCACCTGACTTCCTGGAGTTAGGGGAGAGAAAGGTGGCTTACACTACAGATATATACTAAACAGTGTAAAGTCCCCCTAGATATGTAAAAATAACCTGCACCAAACCTACAGATATTATTTTCATTTTGATGAATAGAATCTGCTTAAAATAGATCTCATTTTTCTGCTTTGATCATAATAAACAATGATGCCACGTTTCCTTACCTCTCTTCTCTAGTATCTTCTCTCCTCAAAATGATACATCAAACAAAGATATCTGAAATACACAAGAGAAAATATTGTATAAATATCTCAACTTCAAACACATCTTGTGGATAAAAATAATTTTGCATCATGCTGTAAAGGAAAGGTGAGCATTAAATGTCATCATCACTACACCATACCTCTCTCTCTCCACCTACAAAGTCACTGTACTCAGTTACTAGTAGTACCTAAAAACATGGACTGCAATCCAGACTTGGCCAATTCTGCAATTCTATTTTGGCTTCTTTAAGCACATCTGTTAATAAATTGGGTAATTCAGACAGCCTGTTGACATCATTTTCCTAGAATAAACATAATTGTTTTTGCCTCTTGCCATTCAGAGGCCTAAAAAAGCAAGGAGCAGAAGATATGACATCACAGACAAGATGAGCCGATCCTAGAACTTATATATACTTCATAAGAATTATTGTGCTGTTTTGGGTAGTCTACACCACAAATTGCTCTTCAAGCTTAAGTGTCTAAAAACAAGATATTCCAAGTGATTTGGGGCTTTCTTCATCTCCAAAATAAACTTCCAGGAAATGCATACAAATGAAAAATCAGCAAAGCTATGTGGGATATGGCTCATTCTCAAGGAAAAATCGCCAGATAAATCCATCTTCTCAAACTTGATAATGAAATTTGCCCAAAACCAATACAATTCCAGAAATTCCCATTTCCTGGAACATATCAACAATGATTAAACATCAACTGTCTTAAAGTAATTTAGCACTGCTTGTCAGGCACAGTTTAAAGAGAACAAATTGTAGGCTATAGAAGCACCCAGTAACCTTCCAATTTCTTTGCAACAAATCAAATTTTAGCGCTAAAGATACATCTCCATTGTAATTGTCACTTACGTTCATGGAAAATAGGGAACTGTTCACTACCAACTTAAACTGAATCCCAAGAAAGATGAGATTCAAAGGTACTCTCAAGTGAAATGATGGCAAAAATCCCTCTAAAAAAAGCAATTCCAGCAGGAATCGTCGCCTCTTTTGTTCAGCGTTCCAAGGAAAGGACACAAAATGTCCCGTCTTATCTGTACTAAATGACTGTAATGCTTCAGTGTACTGTGGCAGACCCTAAACTGTGGTCTAACCAAATGTCAAGGCACAAGATAAATGATACATCATTTAAAGCTTCCGTTGTTTATTGTTTTTTATTCTCTTTCCGTTTGTCTTTATTCCTCCTTTTTACCCTGGCATTGTGGTTTTCTGTTGTTAATTGCTTTTTTTCCTTTTCATTTTGAAGAATTGTTCTTCCTTGTCTTAATGATTTACCATTCTATTCTTATTTTCACTTCACTACCTCTCAAGTATGTTTCCCCATTGTGGTTTTCCAAGTGCTTTATCCCAGACAGAATGCCAAGATGATTTATTAGGTAGAATTGCAGAAGTCAACAAATCAGGAAGGAGGGAAGGAAAGAGGAAACAGATAAATGCCGAAATTCATGTCTATGTCATTCGAGCTGTTGTTTCTGGGCACTGACGAGATGCAAGGGATGCAACAGTTCTATTTACAGCACGTGTTACAGAGGCGTCAATTTTGCCTGCATGATTCATTAGCAGTGCACATTCTATCTGTGTGGCTTCTAGTATTTTATCAGTTGTTCATGGTGTTATGCCAACTGACTGCAATACCCACCACACGCCTGATCAGCTGCCTGTATTGACTTAATGTGCTGGGTTGTCTGCCAGGACAGTTTACACACAGATAACTAAATCCACTGCTATCTGCATTTATCAGAACGCTTCACCCACAGTTCTATCAGAATCTCTCTCAATTTCTTCAATGTCTGGGTAATTAGTATTAGCTGGTAACTTTCAATTAGAAGTGAATATGTATTAATTGATATTCCTGTATGCATACGTGCACTCGCACACACACACATGTAGGTACACCATACACATGCACACACACAAAACACACGCATACACACAGACATGCACACGCATGCACGTACACACACACAAACCAGAAAGATAATATTCCAAAACAGGCACACATACAGCTGGGATATCCTCCCTGCCCACCTGATGGTTCATCTTTTTTCCCCACAAACAAACATAACTCCCCAGTTTGTTGACATCATAAACATATTGTCCAAATAAATCATATAGGTGGCCATCTCTCCAGTGCATGGCAGTTATATAGGGAAGAACTTGAGGAATCTTAAACATTTTCCATTTTTTACTACTGCTACCAGCATGACTGTGTTTTTGCTGGATGCTGACTGATTACCTTGAAAAAGCCCTTAATTGCCTCTATCTTAATGGATTATGTAACGGTTAATGAGTTAATGTGCACAATATCTAATGTAAACAAAATCTGACACTAATATATGTTTAAATAACAAATAATGTGTTTACTGGTCTAATATGAACAAAATGCTATTTAAACATCTTGAAAGGAAAATGGAATAAGATTTGTTTGAGAAGAAAATAAGCACTCAAACCTACAAATACTAGTTGCAGCATGTGTATATATCTTGTCACAAGCTTCTCATATTAATATTTATTCACAGTGTGACAGATGTAACTCTCCTAATCAATCTCATAATCTTAAAACAACATTAATGGCTAAAATGTATATATTTTCTACATAGACGGCATAGCAAAAAACAGTTGTCTTATGAGCCATCTCTACCCATATCCGATCACAATTTGTTGTCAAGGGTGAGCCAGATTTGAGTTATGCTTATAACAAGCAATTCAAGTTTAAAGACCCAATAATCTGTTTATTTATATACCTAGTCCAAATTATGCCACATAGATATCAAATGCTATACTTCAATGTATACTTTTAATTCAGTTCCATATACCAAGAGCAAACCTGTGAGAGCGATCTAGTAATCTGTGTGTAAACTGTCCTATTCTGAGAAATGCTCTGGTTCCCCTGTATATATATCAGTTATGAAATGTGGATCATCTGTGGTGATTGACATGGGTGACCTGGCAGGAAATGGCCTGGTTACACTTGTGATGGGATAATGATGGGGTCAACAGAGATCAAATATCATGTCTTCAGCACTGAACTTTAGGAAACTTATCCCCTCTTTTTTGTGAGCACATTCAGAACAGCGGACTAACAGACTTGTGGATCAAATATGGCAACCCACTAAAAAGCTTGACGATTAATTCTTGATAAGACAATGAATAGATTTCCCACAGGAATTATGCAACAAGAATTTAAGTGGGTTGACCATATTTGATCCGCAGATCTGTTAGTCTGCTGTTCTGAATGTGCTGTATGCCATGATTCACAAAACTTTTCTGCATCATTACTGTTTGTTGGCAGGCTCTGAGGGCCGTAACTCCCATGATCAATTCTCCAATCCCTAATTCTTATTATGGGTATCTTTTTTTTTTTGAAGGATCCACACCTCAATGCTTCCTTAGATGGTACATTTTTCTAAAGGTTTAACTGCTTTTGTTCTATAAAGAACATGTACCAGAGACACTTGCTCCTACCAGCTAATTACATAATAGCTCATAATGATATAATGCAATTTGAAAACCAACCTCATATCCTGAAGAAAGGATCTTTTAGCTATTGTACGGTGGATCGGCTTAAAGTTTAATACTAAGAAAATTTATCTAAATGCAAGCTTGATTAAGGGCAAAAGACACGAAAATGTTAGTAACTTTCATACCTCTCCCTTTACCTCAGAATCTCTGGAACACTATCTACGTACACAACTGCAAGAAGTTCCTTTACTGAATACAGTTTACTATACTTCACTTCACTTCACTTCACTGCTCTTTGTTGCCACCTCAACTAATACAATTTCTCACAGAAAGGGAACATTTCTTGCCTTGGCTGAATATTTGATGTTTTAAACCTCTTCCAAAAACCAAACACGTACTTAGAGTCTATCCCCCAAAGGTAGGCTTCCTTTCCCTTCCCTTCCTCCAGTTCCAGGTCCAAAAAACTGTGACTGCTATAATATCTGATCTTTTCCCATCAAGTTCTACTCACCTAAGCTCTCTATCCAACAGCCTAGAAACTTACTCCTTATTCTCACCTTGACAGAGGGTTTTCAACATGCCTTCTCCTCCTCCACATACCAAGGTAGATGACCTCCCCCCCTCTTACCTTTACTATAACAGATGTCTATCAAAGCATGTGGTTTGGGAGGAAAATTGGCAACATTCAGATCAAGTATCCTGCCACCATGGGAAAATAACAAACACTGATTAATTACCTGATGTGGTGGCTGCTGCTTACCTGGAAGGTTCTCAATACTAGTAGTAAACCCTTGTGTCTGATCTATAGCTTCCTTGAAAATATTTATATGTTGAAGGAATCTAGTACTTTAGAATGAATGGTCTCTGGTGGTTGTTACTTTCCTGATGATATGTTTGGTGGTTGTGTTACTTTCCTGATGATATGTTTATTTATTTATTTGAGGAAAAAAAGGAGGAAGGCTAAATTCTCACCCCCACTCCTCTCTCTCTCTCTCTCTCTCTCTGCAAGGTATGTGTGGTATCAGTCTGTTTTTACCATCTTTCTATCTTTGGCAAACTTATGCTTCATATTGTTTTGCTTAGAAAAAAAGGTGGAAGCACAGGAAAACTGCCGAGGCAAGTCGTAAAGACAACAGAATTAATTTTCTCTATGAGTGGTGATGAAACTCATCCATCATATGAGACAAAAATGAAATGTATATGACATATGTGGTACAGAGACACAATGTGGAAGAAATCAGATCAGAAACATGGCGTGAGGGGGGGCCATCTCTGGCTGGGAAAATTTCTGCTCTGAATTTGATAAATTTGATCAAGATTCTAGGAAGAAGCATAGATTTAATTTTTTTTTTCAATAACACAAATTTTTAGCTAGAGGCCTGTTGAAAGCCTGGCAAACTGCTACTTATTCCACCTAGCTGTGCCTATTTTAAAAAATTAACTGTCAAACATTCTTTCTCATTATACAAAAATTGAATTAAGCCTTTCAATCTGACAGACAAAATACAGAGGACGTGTATGGTCCAAGGAAACATCCCTGCCCTGGTTCTTAAATGAAGTTATTAACTGACTTGCATAATGTATGGCCTGTGGGTGTTGACAAGATGATGGTCTTATTACTTTAGGCCAAGCAGGTAGTCTGTGAAAGAAATACACTGGCAGTATGCAAGGCTTTGGGCAGTAGTTCTCCCCCGTGTTGAGGAGTGTTCATTGATTTGGTTTAAAAACACCTTTGCAATTAACACTACTTCAGGTGCAAGTTTCTACCCCATGGCCCCGTAAGGGAATGTGCGTGGTTCCACGTACAGAGCCACCCGTAGAGCAAACACAAGTCAATATTTTTATCAGAATCAGGAACAACTTGTACTTGAAGTTATGTTTACTGCCAAAATCAACTTATGACATCAACCAATATATCGAGAAATGAATGCCTGGGAGAGATGAGTCAGAGAACAGCTTTTTTCAAATCAAAACATCCCAACTTTAGAACTGTAATGATTTGTGTGAGGTTTAAATTATGAGCTAATTGTACCCCTTACAGAATTCATCAACATATTTACCTTAATAATGAGTTTTGTATTTTTTGAGAAACCTTGACACAAACTTCAAAGTCGGGAGAAATCAGAAATTCACTGTCGTACTTTTGTTTTAACACTCGCCTGCAATCCAGGTTAAGTGCGATGTTGACCGAGTTAACATTTCCACTTGAGACAGACCATGATGGACCAAATTTACAAATAAATATAAACCTATACAAAAATTGGTTTAAAATTTTAGTAATTATTGGTCTATAACATTAGCCAGGTCTTTTTAGCCATAGAGCACCACATTATTCAATTTGATTAAACTATTACCCATTTATCTTAGGTAACATTTGCCTAAAATTTTGATTTTAAAATTTAGACCACATTATAGCCAAAAATACTTCTTTGGAAAAAAACTCATGTCTGAAAACATTCTGTACCAAGCAAAGAGCAATAGTGCAAGCAAACTCTCTGTACATACACCTGTGTCTGGACATTGAGACATTGAGACATCTGAGTAATTAACCAGACTTCCTACTGCCTTACCTAACTACAGACATGTTTACTGAGAAAACATCCAGGAGACACTCG